CACTAGCGACGTCGCTACAGAATCTGCGCGTGGGGTACGCGGCAGCCAATCATCACCCGCCGATTTCGGACTGCAGCGAAATCCGCGAACGCAAATAAAGACGGTGGGACTTAATTCTGTTTGTCGGATTCAATGAGCGGAATAATGAAATAATAAATAATTAAATTTCGCTCACAGCCAACCGAGAATGTGCATGTCTTTGCTGCTACATGCTTCGAATCCTTTTTGTGATTGCTGGGAGTGGTTGGATAGGTGCCCCTTGGGACCAGTGACGCATATTGCAGCAAAACACCGAAATCCAGTTAACATGGACGCATGCTCGGAATATCAGTCAGAGATTTGTAAACAGTATGCACACATCCAGTTGTTGTACTGACCTTCGTGTCTGAAGTCTGCCCCCCCCCGTATCCGTATCTCTTCACAGCCCACTTTTCAGTCGAACACGATTACAACATTAAGCTAATGGAGTGATAGTGGCGATGGCGTTCGGTTGTCGATGAATCATTTGGCACATTTTAGAAACGCACAATCGACTGACGAGTCGTAAAAGACTACGGAAAATTTAATATCACCAAATCGGCGACAAGCAATGGTTTTATTGGCAATCGTTTGGCGGAAATGAGTCAATCACCAATTTAAACATTACTGTCGCCTCATTCAAACCCACGCATTGCTGTTTTGACGACGAATGTAATGAATGTTTTCTCGTCCTTCGTCAAAAGGCCACAGGAAAGTTCACAAAAGTAGTTGCAAAAGCCTAGCGGTCGCTGTTCAGTATCTTTTGGGGGAGAATGACTCGAGGAATTATCTTTGGACAGTGTGACTCTGAATAGGATTTCTCTATGGGAGCAGAACTGAGTATTGACTACGTAAACGAGAGCAGCTTGAGCCCTGCGGCATAGATTCTCTTTGGAAATTTAACAATGACTTTTTGGCCACGTTTTCGTTTGTAGCCAAAGCGACAAGACATAATTAAAAATCATTCCTTAATTCCATTCTGAGCATGGC